CCTTTCCCCAAAACTCTCGGGGCTCACCCACCCAGTCGGTTTTTTTTTACCCAGCAAATAGTACACCTGTCTAAGCCATGAGCCACCAGCTTCTTTAGGAGAATGCCACGGGAGACAGTGTCAAAAGCTTTACTAAACACCAGGAGACAACATCCACATGCCTTCCCTCATCCACTAGGCAGGTCACCTGGTCATAGCAGAAGATCAGGTTGGTCAGGCAGGACTTGCCTTTCATGAACCCATACTTGCTGGGACTGACCCTCTGGTTGTCCTGCACATGCCTGGCGAGCACACTCAAGATAAACTGCTCCATAATCTTCTCCAGCACTGAGGTCAGGCTGACAGCTCTGTAGTTCCCCAGATCCTCCTTCCAGCCCTTTTTGTAGATGGGCATCACACTGGCAAGTCTCCAGTCATCTGGGACCTCCCCTGTTAATCAGGGCTGCTGATAAATGATGGAGAGTGGCTTGGCAAATACCTCCGCAAGCTCCTTCAGCACTCTCAGGTGGATCCCATCTGGCCCCATAGACTTGTGGGTGTTCAGGTGGCAGAGCAGGTCGTTAACTGCTTCCTCCTTGATTATGGGGGGTTTATTCTGCTCTCCGGCAGAGACACCTGAAAGCTAACTCTTCCGACTTGAAAGCTAACTTCTCTGTGCAACACTGCCCTCCCCTGCCACTGCTACTAAAACACCAGACCCACACAATCCAATAACTCAAATTGGTTTTGGTGGTTTTTTTGATTTTATTTTTAGGCAATACACTGAAGTTTTCTTTTGACTTTATCTGTATCAGAAGGCTGTGTCCTCCATCACTTGCTGTCTTCAGCAATTAAGACTTTATATCATCTTTTAAGTAAGTTTTTAAAGAAATTGAAGTTCCATTGTAAAAAATGGAAGTTATTTCTTAAAACTTTATCAAAGGGTTCCCTCCCATATACAGATTCTGATAACATACCCACCTTCCTGAGCTGTACAAACAAGACAGACTTGCATATAGAGGAATAAGCTTCTATGATAAGCTTTGGGTTTGTTTGTTTTTTTTTTTTTCCCCAGTCCTCACTAAAAAAGAAGGTATCTTAAGGAGAATTTAATTTGTTTTTCTCATCAATCTATCTTGTCAATCCAAAGAGCTGGTAGAATACTGCCAAACAACCCAAAAGCAGGTTTTTCTATCTCATCTTTCTTCTACAGTTTCATGAGTATGTTTGCTAAATTCTTAAGTGCCTAATTTTTCTGGGACACATTTATACAAAGTTATCCAAAAGGACAAAAAAAAAAAAAAAAAAAAAAAAGAAAATCAGAGATCTTACTAACAAACAACAAATGTTGGCAAGTTTAGGTAGTTTCATGGGAAACAGGGAAGAGGAAAATCCCCCAAATTTCTGCAGCTGGCCTGAAATTCAGACCATCACTATTATTTATTTAACAATCCTGGCAGGGTACAGAGCACAGCAAAAATTTGCATCTTTTCCTTGAGAAGTCTAAATTCTAAGCTAAATTCTCCTTTGTCTAATGTAAAGGGCTGGATGATATAGTAGGGGAAAACATATGCACAGTTCACGTACACCAATGAGTCAGTGCTCTAATGTTCACGAGGAGCCCATCTAATGAAGTGTTGGAGCTGAGGGGGGATTACATGCCCCATTTAAAAAAAAAAAAGCCATTTCAATGTATCATTTAATTTTTTTCACTACAAACAGGAATAATTCAACAGGAATTTAACTGCTTTCTCAAGGATTTGTTGAATTAGTTAACATAATAAAAGCCTTCCATCTCTAGAGGCTGCTGTGTTCAACAGCATAGTAAATCCTGAATGGAAGTTATTCTGGTGCTCTCCTTTCTTCTACCCCATGAATTTGGACAAGTTCGAGCCCAATGAGAGAGAATGTGACAGCACACAGGACAAAAGAGCATAGTAACAATCTAGAAGAGCTATTCTGGCCACCAGGTGGAGCCCATATTGTTCCATAATAGGAATGGAAATGCGGACAACTACAAGCAGTTGGGGAGGTGGTTTTTTTGGTTGGTTTGTTTTTGGGAGCTGCATGTTTCAAAATTCATTAAGGCAGTGAGACATCTCAAAACCACTGGGAAGTAAGCATTCTAACATGCTTAGGACCCCAAGAAAACTACAGTGTCATTACTCATGGGTCACAAAGTTAAAAATATTTTTAATTATGCACAGTAAAACAAAACACACTCTAAAAAGTACTGTGAAATAGCCTGAGTTGGTGTCCCAAGATTCCCGTCCAAGACAAACAGAAGAGTAACATCAGTTGGTACTCCCATTTACAAACCTGATGGAGAAGCAACAGAAACTCACCTCAAGATATATCAAGCAATTTAGGCCAACATTTAGATTTGAACTTTGTAATTTACATAGAATTTTTTGCATCTGGGCAAAGAGTTTACCACAACAAACACTCTACCACAAAAAATCATGGGTTTAGGGCTACACCATTATACTTGGTCCTGTTCAGTTGAATTTTATGATTTCCTTTCAAACTTAGCTCCAACATTTTTGAGCACCAGAAGCACCACACAATGACAAGATCGACCTTATAACAGACTAAAAAGACGAGAGACTTTTTTTGGTTTGAGTTTTGTTTTTTAAAAAACACTTTGGAAAGTTACGGTCTCAAAAACCAACAGCATTATTTTGAGTTTGTTCTTGTTGACTTAAGTGTGATTTCGTTATGGAGAAGAAAACAAAAGAACAGTGATTCTGGAATGGGCATTCAGTTCATCTGAACAGAACAACGAGCATTAAAAGAAGTTATCTACAGGAAATAAAATACAACATTCCCCCCAACATGCTAGAAGACATCTCTCCCCCAACCCTCCAACTACATTCTCAAATTTTTCAATTTGGTCTGGTGAAGCTGTCTGCCAGCCATACTTGTTTATTTGTTCTAGTTAAATGACAGAATAAATTCAATTTGAAGGAACAAAAAGCTTACACATCACAAGTTTTAACATTATTTTCTAGTAGACATACCTTTAAGAAGTATTTATATTAAATACTTCAGTGAAAAGTTCTGATTTTAAAAGCAGAACTATCCTCCAATTAAAAGGGCAAAAATAATTGCTATCTTCTTTGGAGGCTGTTGAGGACAAATTACATTTCAATCATCTTTATAGATCGCCAAAAGAGGTTTTGTTTCTTCAGAAGTCACTTTGAAAGGTTAAAACCCCGTAAATCCTCTGTTAATAAGTGTTTTTGCAATTATGAACCTGTTTCAACAACAGGGCAGCTGCACTAGGAGGATGAGAAATGTAAACTCCAAAGACAGTAGAAACTTTCTGATCACTGTCACAGTCTAGTAGTGGTAAAACAGATGCACATATCACACAAATGATCTACTCCATCCTGAACCATACCAGTCGCACCATTTCTGAAAAATGAGCAATGTCTGTTGTGGCAGATATTAAAGGGGCTTCTTACTGGAGTAAGATGGGACCAATTTTACATAGGTCAAGTAATAATAATTTTGCTTCCTTGATAAGTTTGATTCTCTCGGAAAATCTGTTACCATCATAGTGCTAATGTTATCTTCTAGCCAATGTTATTCAAGCTAGCCAATGCTATTCCAACCTACAGAAAAGGCGTGAAGAAGACCCAGGGAACTACAGACCTGTCAGTCTAACCTGTCAGTTCCTGGAAAAACTATGGAGAAGATTATACTGGGTACTACTGAAGGGCATTTAAAGAATCATGCAATCATCAAGCACAGTCAACATGGGTTCACAAAGGGAAAGTCCTGTTTACCAACTTGATATCCTTCTATGATGAGGTCACCCACTTAATGGATAAAGGGAAGGAGGTGGATGTAGTTTTTCTTGATTTTAGTAAGGCTTTTGATACAGCATCCTTCTGGATAAGCTGTCTGACTGTGGGATGAGCAGGTTCATGATGCACTGGCTGAAGAACCGGCCAAAGGGCAGAGCTCAAAGGGTTGTCGCGAGTGGGGCTACATCTGGCTGGCAACCAGTCACCAATGGTGTTCCTCCGGGTTCAACTCTAGGGCCAGTTCTGCTCAATATATTTATCAATGACCTGGATGCAGGAGCTGAATGCACCATTAGCAAGTTTGCTGATGATACCAAACTGGGAGGTGCTGTTGACCCTCCTGAGGGACAAGAGGTCTTGCAGAGGGATCTGGATAGATTGGAGCACTGGGCTATGATTAATGGGATGAAATTTAACACGTACAAATGCTGGATTCTGCACCTAGGACAGAGGAATGCCAGGCACAAGTATGAACTGGGAGAGGAGTGGCTGGAGAGCAGCCCTACAGAAAGTGATCTGGGGGTGCTGGCTGACAGCAGGCTCAATATGAGTCAGCAGTGTGCCCTGGCAGCCAAGAGGGCAAACCCCATCCTGGGGTCCAAACACAGCATAACCAGCCAGTCAAAAGAGGTGACTATCCTACTGTATTCAGTGTTGGTGCAGCCTCACCTTGAGTACTGTGTGCAGTTCTGGGCCCCACAATTTCAAAAGGATGTGAAGGTCCTTGAATGCGTCCAGAAGAGGACAACAAAGCTGGTGACAGGGCTGGAAGGAATGGCCTGTGAGGAGCGGCTGAGGACTCTGGGCTTGTCTAGCTTGGAAGGAGGCTGAGGGATGACCTCATTGCTCTCTACAGCTTCCTGAGGAGGGGAAGTGGAGAGGGAGGTGCTAAACTCTTCTCCTTGGTATCCAGTGATAGGATGTGTAGGAATGCTTCAAAGCTACTCCAGGGGAGGTTTAGACTGGACAAACAGTGGAGCAGGCTTCCTAGAGAGGCAGTTGATGCTCCGAGTCTGTCGGTGTTAAAGAGGCATTTGGACAACACCCTTAATAACATGCTTTAACCTTTCATCAGCCCTGAATTGATCAGGCAGTTAGAGCAGATAATTGTTGTAGGTCACTTCCAACTGAAATAGTCTATTCTATTCTACTGCTGGAATACCTCAACTTTGCACTAAGGCTACCATTTGATTAGGTCTCAATGAAAAAGGCCACCTAGAACAACATAAGACTGTGTTACATGGCCAAATATGTTATTGGGTCCTTTAATTCAGTTCCATGTCATTGCAAAGTCAGCAGTACATTATCCAACTTTAATCTTGCAAGATCAAGGAGAAGACTCAGTGACTGCATAAAAGCTCTTCAAAAAACAAGTGAACAAAACCCCCACTAAAATCTTGAACACCAGCTGTGGAGCGACAGAAGGTAGACATGTATAGGTCAATTTCTCCTTGAGCTTCCAATTGCATGGCAGAACATACATTTCCCTAGAATGCTACTTTCAATAAAAGACCTCTCAAAAACCCTTAAAATAAAAGCTCTTGATGGTCATGACCATTGTTTCCAAATGCTACCATCCATTTCTCCCTTCTTTCCTGCTTTAAACACTACACAAACATCATTGAGGTGCACCAATATACCAGATGAAGTTCTAAGGGAAAAAAATGTTTCATATTCAAGTACATATTCAGCATACCTTTTCCATGACAAGTCGAGCGAGTTTTATTGGGTTTGCTATACATTTAACTGCAGATACTGCTCCAGAGTCCAAATTTTTTCCATCCATGATAATGGCATCCATTTCTACTTCACCTTTTTCATTTAGAACAGATCCACAGCCTAAAGACAATTAAAAAAAAAATATTCAGGGATGAAGGGAAAAAGAATAAAGTCATTAAAAGCTAACCATCAGGTGATTCAATTATTAGATCTCATCAAGCAAACTTTCACTTTCCCAATTTGTTGTCTGACTTCCTGAAAGTACCTCCTGAATACAAACAAAACAGCAGAAACACTGCTGAGTATAACCACAAAATCCAACCATTAACAGAAGTATCACAGGGTACAACATCTACTTTAAAATTGAATTTTATTTTTATAAGACGAAAAACACACTTCCAATCCCATCCAAAATGATATACTAGGTACGAAAGCTAAAATGACAAACAATCATGAACAGAATTCTTTATCCCCCAGATCACTTCAAGTGCACATAAAACTATTTTACCTCTGCAGTTCTTCCAAAGGAGGATACAACATAACCCAACAAAATAGCGTAGTGTTCAATCCTATCAACAGATTAACGTCACATAGCATTCCAAGAAACTGCCAGAACTGATGGAGCAGAATAAAAGTGTCCACTCGCTAGTGTAACAAAAGCTTGAAATAACAAGTTCTTCATTACCAAATAAAAACGGTAGATGAAGGAATTAAAAAAAGAAATCAAGTAATGAAACGTTGGGTAGTTATTTTCTTCTATAATTAACGGTACTATCACTAACCTAATCGAAAACTAATGAGATACAAAATGAGACAATGCAAATAGGGTTGGGGTTTTTTTTTAATAATGCGAATAACTGTATCACAGGGGAATAATCAGTTGTAAGTCATCAAGTGCACAAGCCTTGCTAATAAGGATGGAGAAGACTAAACTGAAAAAGAAATTAAAAAAAAAAACAAAGCAAAAATTGGCAGACTTACACAGTAGCTCAGGTAGAAAGATTTAAGCATTGTACAGAACTAAACCAGGTTTTCTATTTCTGTTAAACTGATGTTCAAGCAGGTCAGAAACCACTGTTAATAACTGTTGACATAAGACTTCTATACCAATGTACTGCAGACCTGAATATATAAAGTTAAATCCCCTGTTACAGGAGGCAATAAAATCCTGTAATCCTCCTCCTGTAATCTCCAAAACTTCCCCTGGCACACATAAACACATCTGAACTCTGCCCCCAAAAATTTATTTTTTGCCTCTCTCTGACTGCATAAGCGATTCCAGAGTTCAGTCCTGCATCATTCACAACATGCTAATTTCTAGACTACACTGATCTGCAGAGAGCTTATAGTTAACTTCTTTGTGCCACCCATGTTAACGTCATTCTTACACTGGCATAAAGGAGAAGCTGGAAAGAGTAAGTAATCGTTTTTGTTTGTTTTTTTTTTTTTCTCAGAAAAGCCCTGCCACACTCTTTTAGCTTCCTTTGACAAGACAGGCTTTCTAGCTCATGATCACCAAGTTCCCACTGGAAGTAGGGTACCCCCTTCTCAAGTATCAGTGACCAGAACCATGGTTCCAGAGGAAGCTCTACCAGCCTCCTTCATCACTGCATTAGTTGTATCCTGTATCTACTGGAGATCTCCCATGGGGATCATAATTTCTTAGGATTTCCTAAAATTTCCTGAGCAGAACATAGTTGCAGATAGATTGTGTAGTCAAAGGCAGCTTCCTACAAAAGCCTCCTTTTACAGTTAGTAAAGAGAGAGAGGTGCCCTCTAAGAACAATTCATCCCACTTGCCTTAGAGAGCTGTATAGCCATCCTTTCTCATCCCACTGATCACCATGGCAAGGCTAGATGCTAAACTTCTGGTTATCTGAGGTAGGATGAATCCTTCCTTCTGTGGTTACAATCTGTCTTTTCACCTGCCTTCCAGCACAATGGATGGGAACTACCTGCCTCCAAAGCCACAGTACCCATTGGCAGTGGCACCAAAAAACCCACGTTTGACTCACTTGTGAAGCCAAGGCAGGGAAAAAAATAGAGGCAACAAAAGACAGAAAAATCTAAGGGGACACAAGCACCAAAAGTGTCTGACATCAGCCAAATCACAGCAGGGGTACCAAGAGTAGCACTCCAATTCCTTCTATCTAGAGATAGATAGATAGATCTGTCCTGCAAAGGCTGAGGAGGAAAGGAGTGTGCAAGGATCACTATAATGACAGTTCCTGTATCTGGAGTACTCACACCAAGCTAGTTAATACTGCTAGTCAAAGAGATCACATGAAGGAAACATAACCAAGACCACGTCTTCATCACAAGCAGAACTTGATGACTTCATTAGGCTGCACAAGTCACTAAAACGGTAGTTTTAGACAACAGTATAGCGTCTGAGTCCCTCCACCAAGCCTACATCAAGATGCAGCTACACAGCATGGCTAAACCCTATCATTCAAAAAAGGACACAACTTGATTGCTATGTCCATTCTTCCCAATCTTTATTTTGTCTCTTAGCAATGTCTGTGTTTTCCTAGAAAATATTACAGTAAAACTGATTTTTCTTTTACAAGGATAAATACCACACGGTGAGTTTTAAACAGCCACTCCAATCAAGGCCCTCTTCACATAGCTTTCAGCTCATTTTTGCCTGCTACTGAGAGCAGCTGTAGCTAATGAGTGTTAACACAATTAGATGTATCTGTAAGTGATTACCAGACTACTTGCCATTTAGATCAGTATAGTCCAACTTGGACAAGGACTTAAGGCTCAACTCCAGTTTAAGCAAATTTTGCTAAAAATTCCTCATTTAATATACTGCAAACAAGGTATAAATATGCCTAGAACAAGCTGAAATAAACACTTTTAGACAAAAAAAAATTCAACATGTATTTAATTAAGGATAAATGTGACCTCGGACCATGAAAAGGTGTGTCACAAACACATACTGCACTTTGTACGTTAAGCAAAAAGTTGTAACTGTATGTCAGTCATTGGATACGGTAGAGTCTAAGGTCCTATCCTCAAATGATATGATCATTTTTATAGGAGTATACACTGCTCACAGGTGTCAGTCCAATTACAGCACACTACGGGAGAGCATGGCTCAAAAAAAGCAGTTTTAGTGACAAGATCCCCCATAAAGGTTAAAAAAAGCTTGTATGCAAAACACAGAATATTGCTAGTTATTGTGATCCTACTCAGGATAAGTGCCCAAATTCTTCAGACTGTTGCATACAAGTTAAATAAATGAGCCTAAACAGTTCATTATGAAGTAAGCTTTCATCACTGAGAGTCACACTGAGCTAAAATGCATTTCCCAGCTAAATAATTTTGATTAACAGAACCATCAAAACGAGTGTATAAGAAACCAAGAAAGTATGCAATTATTTATGTGGATTAAGAAAGAGATGTAAACAATCTTTAAGCTTAAATTTACATTGAAGTTCCTTCCACATTAATATTGGACACCTAATGTCAGGCAGAACATCACTCGAGATGCTTCTCAAGAATTAGGATTTCTTCCTGCCCTAAAGTAGCTGGCATTTTTAAAATAGCAAATCTAAATTCTCTGCCAGAGAAATATTTTGAGACATAACCCAGAAACATAAAGAGAGCCAAAGGCCAAACAGATGCTTATTTACTGAAACTGAGCAAAACAAAGTCCTAATGGCTAGTGACTGATTTAGATAGCAGGTGAAGAAAGTCAAAGTTAAATGAGAGAATGCCATCCTAATGTTAATTATATGATAGCACACACCACACCTCTAAGTCCATTTCATGATTTCAGCTTGAATCCTCTAAAAATCAAGATGTTCAATCCAAGTCAGTAACAAAAGACTGGAAGTTTCATCTGAAGTAAAAGCTCCCCCTTGCTCTCAATTACAAGGCGAGAAGGAACAAGTGAACCTCTGCGAACTCAGTGTGCACATAACTAATAGCTATGTTATCTAAAACACTGAACACTGACAAGTCTTTCTTTCCATGTTCATTCCTGATGTACCTTGGTGGGGGTGGCAAAATCTTCTCACTGTGTTGCAGTTTAGCCCCAGCCAGCAACTAAGCGCTGTGTGGTAGCCACAGCTCCTGTCACGGGGGTTGGAGTAGCTGCAGTGCCTGTCGTTTTGTTGTCAGATCCAGAGACTTCCTCTTCCCCTTGAGGGTACTGAATAGTGTTGAACAGGGCTCGGTGACTTGTGTCTCTCCGGAATTACCAGGGCGACGGCATACTTCTTCCAAATATTCTACTAATTTTTCAGGACTCCTGAACAAGTGCGGAATCAAGTTCCAAAACACTGGAGGCACCCACCATCCTAGGCATTTGCCCATACTACCCCAAACACCCTGCCACTCATAACTATCCAGCTTGGGGCAGATCTCTGGATGATATTCTTAAATTGCTTACTAACCTTAGACAAAACCAAAACAAGATTCCCAAGAAATACTAATAGATGTATCTTAACTATCCAAGGATGTTCAAGATACTGAAAAGCTGTTGTAATAAAGGAGGAAACATCATAGAAGAAGGTCATGAAGGTGCCATTCTGTATTTCCTCTTTAAGAAAACCTCTCAGAAGATGTATAATTGCTAATTGTCTCCGCAAGGTGGTACCCAAAGTACAGTAATGGCTTCAGTACAAAACGCAAATACCAGATAAAGCTCAAGGTCAGTGTTTTAATAACAGATCTCCTGGGCAAAACATCACTAATCACTGCAGAGCACAAACTGCAAAAGCCAACATCAATCTTTCACATGTACAGCAAAAAAAAGGAGCATGGTGCAGATCAGATAAACTAAGATCAAGAACAGATGAATCAGTACTGTGACCTGCAACTGTTTACAGAAATAAATTCCTTAATAAGCTCCAATTAATCTGTCATTATCTCAAACCCTTTGAGCTCCATGTTGGGCACCAAAAAGAACTTGTGGTTTAGCCACAGCTGGCAACCAAGCACCACACAGCAGCTTGCTCACCCTTGCCCCCCAAGGTGGGATGGGGGAGAGAACCAGAAGAGCAAAAGTAAGAACACTTGTGGTTTGAGATAAGAACAGCTTAATAATTGAAATATTATAATAATAATAAATTGTATTGAAAAGGAAGACAAGGGGGAGAGAGACAAAACCCAGGGGGAAAAAGTGATGCAACAGCTCAGCACCAGATGACTGATGCCCAGCCCATCCCTGAGCAGCAATCGTTGCCCCCTGGCCAACTCCCCCCAGTTTCTATACTGAACATGACATCATATGGGGTCAGCTGTCCTGGCTGTGCCCCCTCCCAGCTTCTTGTGCACCTCCTTGCTGGCAGAGCATGGGAAGCTGAAAAGTCCTTGGCTGATGTAAGCACTACTCAGAAACAACTAAAACATCAGCGAGTTATCAACATTCTCTCATACTAAATCCAAAACACACCACTATGCCAGCTACTAGGAAGAAAATTAACTCTACCCCAGATGAAACCAGGACACACTGAAATTCATGAAAATAATAAATTTGAGGTCATACAAAGAGAAGAAAACTATTCAACCATTGACATTAACATTAATTAACTTTAATTGTTAGGAAATGCACTTATGAACCTTTATGGTATAAATTCATGACTCATATTCCATTACTGCATTACTTCTGTAATATTATTTACAAAAGCACTAATTGCAATCATTAATTAAGAGAAAGACGCCTAAAATGCCCAGGAACAGTATTACTCTGGCAACAGGTACATGTCAAGTGTTAAGACTTAAACATTGCTGCAAGCTACGTTCAAGTACTTTAAATGTGAAGCTAACTAAACATATACTCCATTAGGGAGTCCATGTCTTAAAAGTGAAGACGCAGCACAGTAACAGGAGATTAACAGAACAGCAGTGCTGCAGCACAAGAATGAAATGGCAGGTATAAAACACTGAAAAATGAAAAAAGTAACTCAGCTGCCTAAGGGTGCTCACAAGAAACTATGGTATATACTGTGCTATTTTTTATACAGAGAAAGAAACTATACTGTGACAGCAGTACTTACTCCACTGCAATGTGCATAATTCAAAGAAAATGCAAACCAGCATTTTAAGAAGCATCAGGGCAAAACACTTGAAATACATGATGATTCTAAACCCACTGAATTCCTGAAAAATTACCTGCATTAAAATGAGGATCATCTTCCATTGATCGTACTGCCTCCTCAACTGCATCTAAGGCACTGCCTCCCTCTTTCAGGATACCATAACCTCGCAGCGCAGCTCTGACAACACCAGCACGACTTCCCTCTTCTCGTTCTTTAAAGATCCGGCCAGCTCCACCATGCACCACAATGACAGGCTTCATCCTGCCAAATTCTTCCCAAGGCTTTCAGCTGTGCACACAGGTTACTTGTAATCAGCCTGTTTTGGAAAGAAGAGTCTTTAGCATAAGCTGCCTTCTACATGGAGAGAGCCCTGCAGGTTAGTTAACAGGTACAGTTTGAGTGCAACCATTTTAGCTTTCAGGAAGCTGGGTACTCACGCAAAGGAGCTCCTAATTCATGTCTTGACAGGAGGAGGCCCCAAGAAACTTGGCGCAACTTTGAGCCCTGCTTTGAAGACCCCTTCCAGCCTAAGTTCTGCTATGATCTTATGATTTAGCATGAAGCCTGCCTAGCAATATTACAAGTTATACAGAAAAAAGCATCTGGGTGACTCTCATCCTGCTGACCGCTTGTCGCATTAGGTGGGTAGCATCATTGTTTAAACACAGTAATATAACCAGCAATAAAGAAAAGCAATTGACCGGAGTAGGGTTAACAGCTTAACCAACTCTACCACCTGGATTTCAAACCTGTGACCTCTTGCAAAACTTTGTACTTCATGCAGGAAAACAAGGCAGCCAAACCTGGCAGTCAGCTGTTTGCTGTTACTGCTCATGGGCCCCTGGGGGCAAAAAAAAAACAAGCGTTGCTACGCATCCTTGGTGATAGCATTCACGTTTTTGTTTCCAGAAAAAGGCAAAGGAGAAGCAGCCTCATCTCCCACCGAAATCTAGGGCACCTCACAGAGGAAACTCTCCACGTGAAAAGTTTCTCAGGGCCACCTATTTTTGGAGGTTGTGAAGAACAAAATCCAACAGCCTTTCTTTCATCCTATGCGCAAACCCTTTAGACACAGTCTCCCCATAGCCCTGGGCTACTGACAGCCCCGGCCCCTCGCACTCCTGCTGCCCGAGGAGTGGCAACTTGCTCTCGGGGTTCGCTAGCCCGGACGGCAGCGGGAGCGCACCGGATGACGGCCCAGCCCGCGCTGCTCGGGCGTCACAGCCCGAGGTGAGGCAGAGACGCCTGCGTTATCACCCAGGACCCCGCACGCGAGGCCTCTCTCCCGGAGGCCCTTT